ATATACAAAACAGACAGTTGACAGATCAATGAAACATAGCAGAATTTCTGTTTCTGCGCGCGAACGGTCGACCATAGGGTCGGCGTGCGCTGAGCCGTGTGACACTCAAACTGTCATGCGCCGAGTCAGCGGTCGACGCATGATCTTCATGCGCTGAGCCGTCTGATTCTTAAACCTGCATGCGCCAAGTTAACGGTCGACGCATGACCTTCATGCGCTGAGCCGTGTGAACTGAATGAAACTGTGTGCTGACGGTATGGTCGGCTCATGGTTCAAAAATCTGCAAAAACATAAATTTCTACAGCTTTTTGTGCATTACGTCATTGTAAAAATTGAATCATAAGTAGCGTGAATGATTTAAACGAAAGAAGGATATCTCTTAGCAAGTTGTCATCATCAAAAACCAGAGGCACGCTTGTGTTGGTAGATACTTTGCCTTCACACTATTTAGATTGTAAATGATTAAATCGATACGTAGTAATTGTGTTCTTCAGGGATTTGATAAGTTACTGGTGTACGAAATAATTTTCAAAGTTTATTTAAGCAGAAAATGGTGATTTGAAGACTCTCGCCTCACAATGGTTATTGACGCTAATCATAATCCTAAGGGCCAAACGTACACTTTCGTATCCCGTTCGGGGTTTAAATTATTTTTTGGAAATCTCTAAGTTCTAATTCATTTTAAAGTGCTTTCGCTGTTATTAAAATGAATGACTAGTGTTTACTATCTGACCTTACCGCAACTTTCGCTTGTTGGTTCGTATCTTAATTAATTTCCCACTTTCGTGGCAAAACTACTTTTAAATAAGTTCTCGCTTTCGCGACGAAGTTTATTCAGTGAATCAATTTTAAACACTCAGACCATAAATTATTTTTTTGAAAAAAAAGTTTTTCAACCAGTTGTTATCAAATCCCATTCGAATTATTACTACATATCGATTACCTAAGTTTAGCTAGACATGGATTTGGGAAAGATAAAACATAAATAAAAATAATAAATAATGATTTGCATTATAATAAAACTGAAATCGATTGAAATGAGAAACCTGTAAATATGCCATTTGGCCTTTGGGCAGATCCTCCACAGATGTTGGCAGGATTCTGGTCTTTAATGCCAATTTGATCGTACAGTACAAATAGAAATTATAGAAGAATGGAAAATGGAATACAGGAAAAATAAAGAGAAACGAATAAGAATATAAAACTGGAAAATATGCTCTGGAAAGTAAATTCGGCAGCACTTCGTTGTATGAATGCAACACCCTTTCTGAAGTCCCCTGCTTCCCTTTTTATAGAAGTGGAATCCCAACGGTTATCACTGAAGATGATGAACCTTAAGGCAGATAATTTAGGGAGTAGTGGTCCACTCTGTGGGAATTGGAACTGATTCTTTGACGTGTAATCTGAGTGGGGCGTTTTTGCCTACATGACGGTCGTCACAAGGTGTGACGGTCGTCACCCGTGTGACGGTCGTCATGAAGCTGTGACGGTCGTCACATCAGCAAAAACAGCTTGTTGCGCTTTTCATTGTGTTTTCACTCCTTTTTCGTCCATATTTCATCTGAGATTGCTTCTTTTCTTCATGTTGCCTTGTTTATACGTGATCGTTGAATACCTGCAAAACATCAGACAAATACACGGAAATAACCCGAAATCGGATCGAAAACGGTTAGACTTTAGTTGAATTATGCATAAAAATATCTATATGATTTCGTGTTATCATCTCTGAAATCTGAGGAAAACTAAAACGTTGAAAAATTCTTGAGATGCATCTTTGAAATTTTCTACAACTCAAAGGTTGCGTCAATGGTGTCAATGTACCCCATGCAATCTCAAAAAAACTTGTTTTGATCATCGTTTTCAACTAACAAACATCTTATACACTATGTCAAAACTATCTTAAATGATATTTCTACTCATTTCTAATTTTAATAATTGATTTTTACTCATTTCTAATTTTAATAATTGATTTCTACTCATTTACATAAAAACTAAAATATTTATCAAAAATTCAAAAAATTATAAGAAATTGATGTTTCAGATGTTAGAGATATGATGATTGAAGTTCCTTTAAACCTTGATTGAGTTTTGAGTTGGTACAAAGAAAAATTTGAGAGAGTTGTAAGTCTGATTTTAAGAAAAATGAGAAATGAGAAAGGAGAAAAGTCTGACGCGATTTAACCTCCAAAATATTTTGGAGATGCATCTCTAGAATATTTTAACGTTAACAAAATTTTTAATGTATCCGGAGATATATCTTCGAAAATTTAAGACATTTTTAAAATTTTAAATAGTACGTAAGAAATATATAAGATGTATTAATAAATCCTTTTAAGAAATTGTACACGTGTCCATGGGCAATAATATGAAATAAAGTGTTTTTTTGTTGAAAACAAAAATTAAACATCTTGGATAAAGTGATCCAAATCCTTGCAAGTTAGGATAAATCGTGCCTTTAAGAACATCGAAGGCTAAGTGGGTGCTTTTTTTTTTTATTTTTTATCTTTTGTTCAAATAGGTAATCAAAATTTTTTGTTTTCGTTTTTATTTTCATATTTTATTTATTTTCCTTTTTTTGAAAAATAAAATCAGAATTTTTCCACTTTTTTATTTTAATTTAAAAAATATATTTTAAATAATGTTTTTAAAACAATTAGTTAAATGGTTTTTTTTATAAATAATTTTAGTTTAATTTGATTAATTAAATTGTTTATAATATATAGTTTAACTTATTAACCATTTAAATAATTTTAGTTTTTTTTATTCAGTACAATTCAGTTTACATATATGGTTCAGTTAAACATATTTCTGAATACCCTATAGTGCAATTCAATTTACATACATGGTTCAATTAAACATATTTCTGCACACTCTATAGTGCAATTCAATTTGCGTATATAGTTCAGTTAAATATATTTCTACACACCTCTGGAATGACTATATCAATTCTTCTTGTGATGAGTTATTACCACTCAAATCTAAATTTAGCATAAACTTTTAAATGAATTAACAATTATATGATTTCAAATTTGCATCACTTTGTGTAATGAAACTAACTATATTGATTCATGTTGTGATGAATATTTCATACTTACATATGTAATAGGGAGCCACTCTCATAGATAACACCATTTTAGTAAAATCAAACATTAATAAATAAGATAGTTAGTGATGGAAAAACAGTAAGTTATACTATCTTAGAGGAAACACATTCTAGCTGTATCATGCATACTTTACAAAATCACATAAAATATTTGATATTCAATCATGTGACGTAATTTTCAATCAAAATCATAATTAAACTCTAACAAATTAAGACATTATAATTAAAAACTATTTTTAGTCTCACAGGTATATTTTTCTTAATGGATAGAGGGTTGAAGTCAAAAAAAAAAAAAAAACTAAGCATTAGAATCAGAGATAATCAAATTACTCAGTTAAACAAACATTATAAAAGTCTAGTCCCAGGTCACGAGTTAAACTCAAATTCACCATAGCATTTGGACAGCGAGTTGCTTCTCAGTAAACATGCTCTATATGAACTTCCAAATTGCGAGCTAACAATGCCTTGATTTGGTGAAATAAGCTATTTCTTGTGCCCATATATGAGTTATTGTATTTGATGGTTGCACACATGGTTTTGTTATCTATGCGAAGCTCCACTTTTCTATGACTCTGTCAAATGCGAACTTAAGGCTTTTATAAACTCCTTACATCTTTGCAATATCTGAATTATAAATCCTTATCTTCTTGGTGAATCCCTCGCACCAGTTACCATTGGTATCACAGAGAAGACCTTTACAATTGGCTTTTCTGTTTTCTTTAGACACTCCATTCCTCTGTTGGGGGAACCATTTGATATGAACTATTATCTGCTGCTTGGTGGATACTTTCTGTTAGAGATGCAGACTCAGTTGACACGTCTTGACTCTAAAGATGACATATGTTAACGTGTTAATGGGTTGAACATAGTCGTCTTCATGTATCTTTTTATTGCGCCAAAACCATAGTGAATGACCAGCGGTAGCTTACACCTCTTTCCTTGATTTTTAAGGAGACATGAACAAATTTTGGTGGATGAATCATGACTATGTGATCAAGCGTTATTAACGGTTATGTGATGAGACTTTATGAGTATCATGTGTGATTATAATCATTCTTAGTCAATACTAACTGGTTAGGTCGGTCACATAATAATCTGACAAATTTCCAACTTTAATGTCAAACTGACGCAATCAATTCTTTTTTCATTCTTGTTCATGTAATCAAAGCTAGTTGGTATAATGACAAAGAGACTCTCGTTAACATGAAATAATGTGATCAATCTCATTCAGAAATAAATTTTATCCAAATACTAAAGATATTGCCTTCGGTGTAAAATATGTATAGTGGAATCTATATCCAAAAAAAAATATAACTTAATTAAAGATAAAATTTTAAAAGTAAGATATAACATTGTTTTCTCTCTAATCAACATTTTCACCATAGACAATCTTTTTCCGTTTAACTAAATAATAATAAAAAGTTACAATTGTAATTGTATCTGAATAAAAATATGAGCCAAAATAAAAAGTAAAGAATGCATGTGTGGGAACAATCAATTGAGAAAGACCAAATTTGTTTCTCACTTGTATTTCTTATACATTAAAGTAAAGAAAAATCTCCTTGGACCCACTTTCTTTTTCATCTCTAATTTCCTCTTAAACCAAACGAAAGAACAAACCTATTTCTCGTCTAACTCTCTCTTATCATTTTCTCTCTCTCATGACTCTCTCAAAACAAACAACCCTATAACGACTATAAACCGTACCCGAAAAGAAAATCCAATACAGTTAATAAGTTCCAACAACAGCGGGAAACTGAACCATTTCTTCACTTTTCAAATTTCAAATTTCAAATTCCACAAAACTTTCATTTCACTTTCCTTCCTCTCTCTCAAACCCTCTCCTGAAAAATTCCCATAGTTGCGATTTTTTCTACACAAACAGAGAAAAAAAAAGATGGATTTCTTTTCCATGAAGAGGAAGAAGCTTCAAAGCCTGTGCAAGAAGCACGGTATTCCTGCGAATCTGAAAAATAAAGATATGGCAGAAAAACTTTCTTTGATTTACAAGGTTAGGGTTTCTCATTATGCTCTTTTTCTCGTGTTTATTTATTTATTTTGATCTGTTTGTTGTTTTGAATTTTGATTGGTGGAATACGAATTTTAGTGGTTAATATAATTCTAGGGTTTGGAAAAGTCATGTTTTTCCCTTTTAACATGCGTGTTTGGAACATAAGGTAGTTTAAATTATGGTGAAAAATCGATTTATCACCGGCACCTCTGAAATGAGGTGTGACTGCGTCCGTATTGGATTTATTGATTTTTTCAAATTATTATTTTGTCCGTGTTCAGTGTTAGTCACCACTTGTGATTATGTTTAATTTATCATTTTTTAAAATTATTACTGGTGCCACCGTGTCAGTGTTGGGGTCGTTTTTGAGAGTGCGTGCATCATAGTTAATCACTTTTCATCACTTATAATTTTCCAGTTTTATTTTATTTTTCTGAAGCTAGATTAATTATGGGGACAAACTGAATTAAAAAAAAATCAATTTTTTGATTAATCACTTTTAATTATCTTTTCATTATCTGTTATGGTTTTCTACAGTTTTATTTTTCCTTGTTATGTTTTTTAAGTTATGATTAATTGTTTCTAAAGTTATGATTAATCACTTTTTAGGTTTTAACATAATCATGTTTGTTATGAATGTTAGGAACAGTGAAGTGAATTAAATTAGAAAAAAAAATCATTTTTATAAGTTTTATTCCATATGTGAAGTTAAAAAAAAAAAGAGAATTTGAAAAAAAAGTAAGTTTGTTTGATAAGAGTGAAGTGTTTTGTTTGAGTAGCTTCTCTTTAAAATCATATGTTATTGATATTTTTGTTTTTACAAAAAGTTATTTTTAATTCTGTGATGTTATGTAACAAAGGAACCTTACTCCCTTTGATAATAAATGAAACTTTATAATTACTAGTTTTGTTGTTTAAATTTTGTTAAATATTTTTTTGCAGATTTTTTTTTCCACACTGTATCTTATTCTTGAGTTATTTCTTTATTTAGTTGTTTGTTTGGCTTACTTATGCATATAGGAAGAAAAAAATGAGAATCCTGGGTCACGCCGGTTACGATCTGATGTGGACAAATCAAATGTGGAAATTATAGTATTGGACTCTGACAGTGATTCTGAAGTTCAAATGGAAGCTTTAGGTATATCAAGTTCTATGTTAGTTTTGTATTTGATTTTTGTTTTTTAAAAATATTTGTTTATTTATAATTTTCAAACTTTATGATTCTAGATACTGTTGCTGAGAAGGATTCTAATGAGAAGACCAATGTGAGCACTGAACATTTAGTTGATGCGGAACCCGATCAATCTCTAACCACTTCTCCTCGAAGTGAAGTCAAATCTGATCATAATATTATTCCTCCCTTGGATGATTCAGGTATAGAGAAGTTTTTTGAATTTTATAATATAATATTTGTTTATTTATAACTTTCAAACTTTATGATTCTAGATACTGTTGCTGAGAAGGATTCTAATGAGAAGACCAATGTGAGCACTGAACATTTAGTTGATGCGGAACCCGATCAATCTCTAACCACTTCTCCTCGAAGTGAAGTCAAATCTGATCATAATATTATTCCTCCCTTGGATGATTCAGGTATAGAGAAGTTTTTTGAATTTTATAATATAATATTTGTTTATTTATAACTTTCAAACTTTATGATTCTAGATACTGTTGCTGAGAAGGATTCTAATGAGAAGACCAATGTGAGCACTGAACATTTACTTGATGAGGAACCAAATCAATCTCTAACCACTTCTCCTCGAAGTGAAGTCAAATCTGATCATAACATTATTCCTCACACGGATGATTCAGCAACACCAAGTGATCTTAATATTCATCACATGGTTGATTCAGGTATAGTTGTTTTTTTTTTGAAATTTACTGATAGTTTGTGATTGTTGATATGTGCTATAGTTGATTTTATTAGAATTAATGTATAATATCTGAGTTTATGTAGAAGAGATTGAGCAAGTTCATCAACTTGATGATAATATTTATGTTATGGACGAAGCTGCTGCAATGTGCCTTGATGCATCAACTGCTGTGAAGCATACTGATGAGGTCAAGTCCTATGATCTTAATAATATCGTGTCACACCCGTTACGATCGGATGAAGACAAATTGAATTTGGAAATTCCAGAATTGGACTCTGACAATGATATTGATGTTCAAATGGAAGCTTCAGGTATATCAAGTTCTATATTAGTTCTGTATATGTTTTTATAAGAATGTTAGTTTATTTATTTATAATTTTTTAAACTTTATATTACTAGATACTGTTGCAGAGAAGGATTGTAATGAGAGAACCAATGTGAGTGCTGAACATTTACTTGATGAGGAACCAAATCAATTTATAACAACTTCTCCACCAAGTGAGGTCAAATCCAGTGATACTAATAATCTCCTGTCACGCCCATTACGAACCGATGAAGACAAATTGAATTTGGAAATTACAGAATTGGACTCTGATGTTCAAATGGAAGCTTCAGGTATATTAAGTTCTATATTAGTTTTCTATATGTTTTTATAAGGATATTAGAAAATTTATAAATTTTCTAACTTTATATTTCTAGATACTGTTGCTGAGAAGGATTGTAATGAGAAAACCAATATGAGTGCTGAACATTTACTTCATGAGGAACCAGATCAACTTATAACAACTTCTCCACTAAGTGAGGCCAAGTCTAGTGATCATAATAATCTTGTGTCACACCTCTTACAATCCGATAATGACAAATTGAATTTGGAAATTGCAGAATTGGACTCTAACTGTGATACTGATATTCAAATGGAAGCTTCAGGTATATCAAGTTTTATATTAGTTTTGTATTTGATTTTTGTTAAGAATATTAGTTTTATTTATAAATTTTCAAACTTTGTATTTCTAGATGATGTTGCTGAGAAGAATTCAAATGAGAAGACCAATGTGAGGGAAGGACATTTACTTGATAAGGAACTAGATCAATTTCTAACCACTTCTCCACTTAGTGAAGTCAAGTCCAGTGATCTTAACGTTCAAAACACTGTTGATTCGGGTAGAGAGAAGCTTCGGTGTACAATTTTTTATTTTCAGTTTTATCCATGACTGTTCCCATAACACCTTTCAGTACACTTTGTTTTAATATCTCAAACTTTTATATTTTAGGTATTGCTGCTGCAAATGCAGATGCCTGTGAAGTGAAGCCTGCGACACCTAGAGAGCATAATGTTCATGACATGATTGATTCTGGTAAGTGGGAGATTTTTGAAAGTTATTGATGGTTTGTGATCGATGATTTGTTTAATTTATAATCTACAACTATTTTTGAAGGCAATAGAAAATTATTGGTGTCATGATTGTAAAGAAAATTGAAAAATGTTGACAAACAAGCACTATTGCGCGTGTCTTTCTGCTAGTATATAAGTAGGATTTTTTTGAACATTTCTTCCACCTGGACATAAGCAAGTGATATAGTTGTTTTATTGAAATTAATTTATAATTTCTGAAACTCTTAAATTTTAGGCACTGCTGTTGGGAATGAAGATGCCTGTGAAGTGAAATTGACATCTGAAAGAAGTGGCAATGTTGGATCTTTTTATGTGGAAGAAGACATAAATATGAGGGCCAATGTTTTAGAAGCATTTGGCAACTATACGATGTTAGAAGATCAGACATCGAGTGAAAGTACTTATGTTCATGAAGATACTGATTATCACTGTGTAATATCCCAAGCTGCTAAAACTTGCCATGATGCATCACCGGGTGTAAAAAATACTGAAGATAACACCAATGTGAGTGTTGAGAATATTCTAGATGAGGTTCATTTGTCTAGTTTAGAAAATTCAAATGGGACTCCAGCTCAGTTTCTGAAAACTAATCCATTAAGCGAAGTCGAGACTAGTGATCTTGATGCTGATAAAATGGTTGCTAGAGGTAAATTGTTTTGTTTAGCCAAATAATTTATAGTCAGTGTACATCTTAGAAATATTTCTTAACCTTTTAACATTTTTTGATGAGTTTATAATCTCTAACCTTGATATTTTAGGCACTGATACTAAAAGTGCATATACAAGTGGAGCAAAGTTTGAATCGTCACTAAATATGAGTACAAGTCCAGCTTCAAAGGAAATGGTTGGTTCATCTACCAAGCTACTACCAAGAGATACTGTATTTTGTAATATGGAAGTAAGCATGCAAATTGGTGCTAATAAGGAGCAAGTTGATCCTAGCCAAGAGAAAATGATGGAGTTTTCTCCCAAGCTGTTTAATAATCCAGGCTCACCAACAAATGGTGATATTGGATTTTGTGGTTTGGAGGAAAACTTGGAGATTGGTGTCAATAAGGAGAACATTGATGCCAACGAAGATGCTATGCATGCAGAACCTAGTGCGATGGTCTTGAGCGACAATGAGAATCTTATACAGGCTGTTTCAGAAGAACCTGGTAACAATTTGATGGAGGATGAAGTTGCGAATGTGGATAATAAATTTGATATTGTTGAAGATGTTCCTGGATCTGTTAACCCAGGATCAAAGAAAAATGCTGATTTGAACACCTATGTGTCTGGTGGAGATATTCTAGATGAGGTTCATTCCTCTAGTTTTGAAGATTCAGATGTGACACCAGTTCAGTTTCTGACAACTGATCCGTTAAAGGAAGCAGAGACAAGTGATCTTGATGTTCCTGGTAACAATTTGATGGAGGATGAAGTTGCGAATGTGGATAATAAATTTGATATTGTTGAAGATGTTCCTGGATCTGTTAACCCAGGATCAAAGAAAAATGCTGATTTGAACACCTATGTGTCTGGTGGAGATATTCTAGATGAGGTTCATTCCTCTAGTTTTGAAGATTCAGATGTGACACCAGTTCAGTTTCTGACAACTGATCCGTTAAAGGAAGCGGAGACAAGTGATCTTGATGTTCACACAATGTTTGAAACAGGTATATTGATTTTTCCAACCAAATAATTGATGATTAGCCCTGTACAGACATATATTAGCAAGATTTCTTAACCTTGTAACCATTATTTTATAGAAATGAGTGTATAATCTCTCTAATCTTAATACTTTTCAGCCACTGCTACTAATGCAGATACAAGTGGAGCAAAGTTTCGATCGTCACAAAAAATAAGTTTAAGTCCAACTTCAAAGGAAATAGTTGGTTCATCTACCAAGCTGCTAAATAATTCAGTAGCACCAAGAGATGTTGTATTTTGTAATGCGGAAAAAAGCATGCAAATTGGTGCTAATAAGGAGCAAGTTGATCCTAGCCAAGAGAAAATGATGAGGTTTTCTCCCACGCTGTTTAATAGTCCTGAGACACCAACAAATGGTGGAATTGGACTCTGTGGTTTGGAGGAAAACATGGAGATTGATGTTAATAAGGAGAACATTGATTCCAATGAAGATGTTATGCATGAAGAACCTAGTATGTTGGTCATGAGTGATAATGAGGATCTTATACAGGCTGTTTCAGAAGAACTTGGTAATGATTTGATGGAGGGTGAAGTTGCGAACATGGACGATAAATTTGATCTTCTTGAAGATGTTCATGGATCTGTTAACCCAGGTGGCACGAATAGCACTCATGCATCAAACATAAAAGCTGATTTGAACACCTATGTGACTGGTGGAGATATTCTAGATGAGGTTCATGCATCTAGTTTTGAAGATTCAGATGGGACACCAGTTAAGTTTAGTGATCTTGATCTTCACAAAATGTTTGAAACAGGTATATTGATTTTTCCACCCAAATAATTGATGATTAGCCATGTATAGACATGTATTAGCAAGATTTCTCAACCTTGTAACCAATATTTTATAGGAATGAATGAGTGTATAATTTCTCCAATCTTGATGTTTTTCAGCTACTGCTACTAAAAATCAAGATATAAGTGGATTGAAGATTGAATCTTTGCCAAAGATGAGTTTATATCCAACTCCAGAGAAAATGATTGGTTCATCTAGGTTTGAAGATTCAAATGGGACACCAGTTCAGTTTCTTCCAACTGATCCGTTAAGGGAAGCGGAGACTAGTGATCTCTATCTTCACAAAATGTTTGAAACAGGTATATTGATTTTTCCACCCAAATAATTGAAGATTAGCCATGTATAGACATATACGCATTAGCAAGATTTCTTAACCTTGTAATAATTATTTTATAGGAATGAGTGTATAATCTCTATAATTTTGGTATTTTTCAGCTAGTGCTACTAAAAATGCAGATACAAGTGGAGTGAAGTTTGAATCTTCAAGAAAAATGAGTTTAACTCTTACTCCAGAGAAAATGATTGATTCATCTCCCAAGCTGCTTAATAATTCAGGGACACCAACAAATTTTGGATTTTGTGATGTGGATGAAAATTTGCAGGTTGGTGCCAATAAAGAGAACATTGATCATAGTGATAAAGTTCTGCATGCAGAACCTAGTCTAGTGGTCAGGAGGGACGATGAAGAGGTTGATCTTAGTATTTCTCAAATGGCTGCTCAAGGTATAATGCAGTTTAGGTCCTTAAATATATCAGTATTCATAGTTTTTATATATAAGTACGAATCCATAAAATTATAATTTATTGCACTCTTTCTGCAGAAACTTGTGAAGAAGAGATGCTTAAATCATCAGAAAAGACTTGTATGGTTGCTGATCCTGAGGAATGCATTGGATTTTCCCTTAATGACCTTGAAGCTTCAGCTGCTAAAGGCTCTGAGGCTGAAACATATTTTAAATCAACTGCACTTGGCGATGTTATGGAAACTTGTAACATGGAAGGAAGCATGCAAACTAACATGATGGAGGGTGAAAACAGTCAGGAAGAAAAACAAGGTTATTCAGCGAGCTGGAAAAAGAAAGGGAGTGATGTGGATGATAATAGTGGTGCAATTTCAGATAAGGAAGTGAAAGCAGATGAGCTTGTTCCAGCTGTGCCGCAATCTTGGGAAATGGAATCATGCGATTTTGGCCTTCAACAACTTTTTGCTCAAGGTTGTTTAAAGTTTGAGTAGGGAATACATTTCAGTTTCTGTTCAAGTGTTAATGAGTCAAATCATAGTCGTGGTTACAATTTCATTGCCCTGTTTATTTTCTGAAACAACGCATTTTCAGAAACAATGTTTTGACATTTTAAAAATTTCTAAAATTGTTAGATTTATTTTCCAAAATTGTGAATATTTTTACTCACGAGGAAAATATTGGACTGATATTATTTTATGTTTTATTAATTGAAGTAAAAATGATAATAGGAATTATGGAATGTAAACATTCTCTTGCGTTGCAGTTAAATACATCTGATGCAAATCGGATAGTGGAAATCAAATCAGATTGCGGTTAAATACATTTGTTGCAAATCAGAGTGCAGTTGCATATCTTTTTATGATAAATTTTTGTACAGATTATTGATGTAAGCCTTTATTTATAGACATTGCTTTTGGAGATGAAGAATCATCCATGATGCATAAAAATATGGAGATTTCCATGATCGAGGAAGAAAACAATCGGGAAGATTGTGTTTCAGCTCAGCGAGTAGTTAGCAAACTTTTTGACAACTCTGATGTTCACGATGATATTGGTCGAGTTGGGGGAGAAGAAGAAAATCAAGCTCATTCGGCAAGCCGGAAAAGGAAATGTGATGTCGATGAGACTAGCGGTGCAAATTCAGATAGTGTAATGGAGTCATCCGATTTCGGCCTTCAACAAGTTTTTGCTCAAGGTAGTTTACCTTTTTGATTAAGGAATGCATTTTAATTTCTATTCAAGTGCTTTATGTATTATTCATGAAATTTGTATAATCATTGTCGTGCGTGGTCGCATTTCATTGCCCTGTATATTTTCTGAAACAATGCGTTTTCAGAAACAAAGATAACAATGTTTTGGCATTTTTATAATTTCTAAAATTTTTGGGTCTTTTTTTCGAAAATTGTAAAAAAAAGTTGTGAAGAAATTATATATTTTTGTATAGATTGCGGTTAAATACTGATGCAAATCAGATATCAGATTGTGGTTAAATACATCTGATGCAAATCAGGTTGCGGTTGGCAGACCTTTTTATGATAAAATTTTGTACAAATTATTATTTTTCTATATAAGAATTAATTGATGCATGTAAACTTTTATTTGTAGACACTGCTTCTGGTGATGAAGAATCATCCAAGATGCATACAGAAATGGAGATATTGGTCATGTTGGAGGATTGCATCCAAGGTGCATCCAAGAATCATCCAATGATTGAGGAAGAAAACAATCAGGAGGATTGCATCTCAGTTCAGCAAGAAGAAGAAATTCAAGCTTATTCGGCAAACCTGAAAAGGAAAAGAAGTCATGTGGATGATACTAGTAGTGCAAATTCAATTGAGAAAGTGAAAGCAGACGAGCTTGTTCTAGCCGTGCCTCAACCTAGCGAAATGGATTCATGCAATTTCAGCCTTCAACAACTTTTTGCTCAAGGTAGAGTTTAAATTTTGAGTAAGGAGTGCATTTCAATTTTTATTTTAGTCTTTATGCACTCAACAATTGTGTTAAATTGCAGGCGAGGTCACATTTGCATTGGCTGGTTTTTATGATAAAATATTGTATGAATGACTTTTTCTATATAAGAACTGTTAAGAAATGTGGTTGGGCCTAACTCAACCCTACAAAACCGGTTGGTAGAGTGAGGATTGTCCCCATTTATAAACACATATTCATGCCATATATTGTCCGATGTGGGACTCTTAACACACCCCCTCACGCTCAGGACTGGACATCTGAAGCGTGGAAATAAATGGTGGGTGGCCCGATAGCGGAAACCATAGAAGGTGGCCCACCGGATCTTAAACGAGGCTCTGATACCATGTTAAGAAATGTGGTTGGGCCTAACTCAACCCTACAAAACCGGTTGGTAGAGTGAGGATTGTCCCCATTTATAAACACATATTCATGCCATATATTGTCCGATGTAGGACTCTTAACAAGAACTAATTGATATTCATGTTAACCTTTATATGTAGACACTGCATCTGGAGATCAAGATGTTTGTCTAAAGAAGTTGGACTCACCATCCAAAGCTACTCCAATTGCAAGTGGAGAGAAAAACATCATTTTTACTCCTAAGTTCAATGAATCATCTATGATGAATAAAGAGATGGAGATTGCCATGATTGAAGAAGAAAACAATCAAGAGGATTGCATTGCGGCTCAGCGGGAAGTTTGCAAGTTTTTAGACAACTCTGATGTTCATGATGGTATTGGTCTAGATGGAGCCAAAGATGATCAAGTTTATTGGGCGAGCCGGAAAAGGAAAATGAGTGATATGGATGATACTAGTGGTGGAAATTCAGACGAGGAAGTGAAAGCAGATGAGCTTGTTCCAGCTGTGCCGCAATATAGTGAAATGGAGTCGAGTGATTTCGGCCTTCCACAACTTTTTGCTCAAGGTTGGAGTTTAAAGTTTAAGTGTTTATATATGTATTCAACAAATTTGATAAATCGCAGTCGTGTTTGCAATTGCACTGCCTGTGCAATTTTAAGGTAGGAGTTTAAACAATTTGACGTTTTCATAATTTTTGTAAACCTTTTTTTCTAGATACTGCATCTGGAGATGAAGATGCTTATCAAAAGAAATTGGACTCATCATCAAAGGGTACACCAACTGCAAGTGGAGAGAAAAGCATCATTTTTACTCCCAAGCTCCAAGAATCATCAATGATGCGTAAAAAGATGAAGATTGAAATGAATTTGTCTCAAAAACCTGCAACAAGAGATAGTGTTGGTGCCTGTGATATGAAAGAGAACATTAAAACTGACAAGAATGAAGACATTAGCTCGACGGTGTTAAGGAATAAGTTTGCCAAGAGGCTACCTCTTCAAGATCTTCACCAGAATTGATCTTAACAGTCTATGCAGTGTTTGTAAGTTACTAGTAATTTAGTGAATGATCATGATGCTAATTATTTGATGATCATGCTTTGCAGTATGGTAGACATGATGATGACTGTTGGTGTTAAGTGTAAGTTCTTTTTAATGCTTATTGCTTAATGCCTTTTATTATAAGACATTTTAACATGAAATGTGTTGTATTGAATAAGCTTAAGGGACCGGTTACTTGTTTATCCTGTTTTAATGCCTTGTATTGTAAGACATTTTCACATGAAATGTGTTCTATTGAATATGTTTAAATACTGGTTGTTTATCCTGTGTGGTAGAAATTTGTTCAGTTTGGATTAAGTTTTTGCTTCTACTGTGCATGTTTATGGTTCAGACATATACTTTCCACTTTCTCGCTTAATACTTGTACACATTGAGTACATTAGTTGATAACACTGGGTATTAGGTTAAAGTTAGATTCGCAATGTCACTTTAGGTCTAAGTTGTCTGACCCTTTCTTTTTATGTTGTTAGTTTATATATAACCTTGTAGGCTCGGACTCTATATAGAGAGATCTTAAACATCTTTGTTCCCTTGTATGTCTGAAGTCATTCAATTTTATGTTTATGACTGATCATTTATGGTTGTTTGTATGTTGGGGTGTACTAGCCATTAATCGAATGCACCGACTTTGGACTGGCCTATTCGACTTGGCTCATTTATGTGTCGATCCAACTCGAGTTTGTTCTATGGGATGCTTTGAAACCATGGCAGATTCTCCTGAACTTGGATTTAGATCAAACAAAAACTTTCAGACATGTACACGGCCTCTAAAGCATCACATCGGGTGATATACTTTATGTGAAAAATTGAATTGTATAATACTAAATACTTTCGTTTCATCGTTTGAAGGAGCAATAATCAACATTATTATATGATAAACTTTAATTCTAGTTTACTGAAGTCATTTTATGTGATCTGCTTTTTAATTGATATACACTATAAAGATATTTAATATTAAAGATGTTTATTATAAAAACATTTTAAAATAAAACTATTTACAAATGTAATTAGCACAATGGATAAATATATTCGTGTATGAGTAAAAACTATTGTTCTACAATACTTACAAACCGTTTGTTTTAATTGATTTATTTGAATTTATTTTATTGATATATATTTTGTGTCTATTGCGATACAATCAAAACTTTTTTCTTTTAATATATTTTTTATATATCTTTGAAACTTAAGTTTATATATATTATTAAAATAATTTAGGTTAAATATACGACATCTCCAATAATATAAGCGAGTATTGCTATATGTTTTTGTAATTTTTTTTTTTGATTTCTTTCAAAACATAAAGGTTCCATTACGCTTCTTATGCACACTATTTCAGTTTAGTTTGTATTTATTAGTAGTTTTGCACTTCAGATAGATTTTTATTTGATTTTTAATTTATTAATTAAAATCCATGTGGATTTTTTTATTTATTTTAAATTTATTTTTTAATAAACCAAAAAACATTGCATTGGGCCTAAAGCCCATATTATCTTATATAGCAGTCTAATTACTGAAGATTTGACAACTATTTATTAATACTTCCACTTGTTTCGACACTTCCTTTACATTTAAGATTCTCCTTCACTCAAGAAAAAGCTTACCAACTCTTTGAAGAAACAGGAATATATTATTGAATTGGAAAGTTAGACGAATGAATTACTACCCGTTCGAACAATAAAAGATCTTTGGCAAAACCATCTGTGATCAATATTCTGAAGAATTGGATTTAATTGAGCTTCAAAATCCCCCTGTATACCATTAGTCCATTAGATTATCATCTGAGGATATACTACGAGTGAAGGAATATATGCATGTATTCGTCGCTGAGTTAGAAGTCACTCAATCACCATCATACCATTGCTTTTGAAGGCTATATGCAGAATGGCAGTGTAGATATCTGAGAAGGAATATTGAAAAGCAGGGTCATATATACCGGTCAATCCATCATCGTAGAAGTTATCTCCGGTTGATACCACAAAGTCAATATTTAAGTATATCCTCTACACAATATATCTCAAATCTTTAAATATTAGACTTTGAAAAAGATTATTGGACTTTAAGTTTTAAAGTAATGTATTAATAATTAATTTAAAAGTACATTTCTTTATAAAAAATATTAATAAAAATAATTTTAAAAAAGTATAAAAAAATTAATACAAAAAAGTAAAAAAATATTTAAAAATATAATATAGAAAAAAGTAAAGAAATTAAATAAAAAAATTTAAAAATTCTACATGAATTTTAAATAATAAATAAAAAAATTAAATAAAAGTTTACCTGTACTATCAAATCACTAATAAATGGGATCTGAGCTGAAATAATGTGCATAGAATAATCTTCATATTACAATGGGGAATAAAAATAAATCTTTTAATAGAGTGTAAAGTGAATCTCGCTTACATTGCAGGGTGTCGTATATATAATCCAATAATTTATGAAAATGATTTATAGCATATCTAAATATCATAATTTTAAAAATTGGATCGAATCGTTGGGACCAACCGATTCAATAAAAAATCGAACCCATTTGACACTTTGCAAGTGTAAGACAATATCATACTAGTAAAAAGTTATCGTTTTTAAAGGACCAAATATCCTATTACTGAATTCTACTATATTATTGTTTAGCTAAAACATTCTAGATTGAGTTTGAGTTAAAAACATACAAATTTTTAAGGAATAAAGATTATAATTTAAAAGTAGGGCCTAAAGTGCATGATTATTGTCTAAGCATACACACACACACACACCAACCTCTTGTTCTATTACAAGAAATGAGTCGAATTATAGAAAAATAAAGAAAATTGGACAACACCTACTTTCGTTAGTGTGTTGTCCAGTCTCAGACAAATAATCAATCCACTTTCATCGATCCAGTTTATTTGTTTGAGATTAATTCTGCGCAACTATAAAAATGAATTTTTTTTCAATTGGGTTCTAGACACTTTCTTTGTCTTGTACTCAATTGTCTAAAATTTCGTCTTCGAGTACCGAAACACACCCTTTCAACATATGATCGGTACTTGAAATGCCTTTACTTTCATAAATGACATATGTGTTAAATGCTCAAAGGTCTAAAAAAAATTTCAACTTTAGTTCTCATAGTAAAATGGTATAGGATTCATTTGAGCTTTATCATGAGACAATCCTCAAGACCTTTAGTTCCTAGAAGACTACATGAACATGTTTATCAATAAAGCAAATAAAGCATTGATAAACATGATAACAAAAAATAGTAATGACGATAAGTACATAAGAACCTAAATTGAAAGCAAGAAATACTTGAATAAAAACTCCAATGGAGCTCTTAAGTACAATACTTGATAGAAGAAAAATTGCAAGAAAATAAACTTTATAAAGTAAACTAGAGTCTAGGACATAAACTTTATGAACGTCTCCTCATAAAGTCAAACAATTGGAATTAAAAAAGGCAAGACAAGCTGCATAAAAGAAAAAAAAAATCCTAAGTTCTCGGGGTCGCTACAACTCATAACTTGCGATATGGCCAGTTCGTAGCGGACCACTGGCTTTTTGTATAGAGGGCTTCTAAGGGCCACTACGACTTGTAGCCTTTGCTACAACCAGCCCGTAGTGTGCCCCTGCATTTTGTATGGTGAAAATTACCTTCTCGATCTTTGACGTTCTTTTGCGCCTCTCGACTTGTCTTTTATTGGGGACTTCTTTTCTAACATGAAAATTGAGAAAATGTATAACTAAGTGTCGTACCTCGAAAAATAAGAACAACCTCGCGAAGCGCAATCGCGTGCTCGCGGGATGAACTTAATAAAGTCGCCATTGATATTTATTTATTCTCATAGAGGGAAAGGGAAAATATCGTATAAAACCCTTAAAAGAAAGGAAAAGATATGGTCATCGCAATCAATATCTGAGTTCGGGAGTCGGTTACGCAGGGGTCCGTTGTACTCAACGGGAACCATTTAATTAGGGTTGAATGAATGCTAACTTAAGGTTTATTTCTAATCTCCTACTTATGAAAAAGGATAATAGAGAAGATAAAATGTTTTTAGATTTTTATATTAAAGGGGAAAAAAACCTAAAGGTTTTTATTATTAGGGTGCTCTCCAAGACTTCACAGTCCGTGCCTACGTATCCTTACAAGGATGGAATCAGAGCAATCGTAATTCGGATATTATGGTGAAAAAAGAAAAAGGTGGCTCTCCAAGGGTTAGGGTCCTTGTGCCTAGGTATTCTCATTGATAAATGAGAAATCAGAGCGTCCGTAGTGCTGGTACTACAAAGTTTATTTGTTATATCAAACAAATGTTTAGGTCGCGATTTAAGGGCGAAACATTAGTTTTTCTACTCTCGGTGGAGGCTTAAACATTTAGTTTACAGGCGCATTAGAAGGAACTAAACATCGTTCTTTTGAGAAAAAATTTTAATCGCACGGCGATGAGAGAAATAAAGTTTGATGGTTGAGGTATATTAAGTGAATGGCGAACATTTGATGATAATCAAACGTCCAAATGGTCACGCTAGAATGCTAGATTCTAACGTCCCTTATTCATTCAAGTTGTTATGAAAATTATTTGATGGACAACAAACACTTAATGATAATCAATTGTTCAAAGAGTTGTGTTAAGATGCTAGATCTTAACGACTCTTATTTGTCCAAGTTGGTATTAAAATTGTTTGATGGATAATGAGCTCTTGATGATAATCAATTGCTAAAGAAGTTACACCAAGATGTTAGATCTCAATGACTCATATTCATCCAAGTTGCTATGAAAATTGTTTAATGGACAACGAGCTCTTGATGATAATCAATCTTTTAGAAGGGTTATGTTAAGATGCTAGATTTTAACGGCTCTTATTTGTCCAAGTTGATTGAGATATTTTAAAGAGCGAAAGAAAAGAATAACCCGGTATCCCAAAGTGCGAGACTTGAGACCGATCATTCGAGAGTTATGCTAAAATGTTAGATTCCAACTATCCTT